AGTTTTTCTCTGCCTTTCCTGCCTGTCAACTCTGAGATACCCAAAACCCAGTTTTCATTCAAAAGGGGAAGATAGGGAAAATTCCAAGACCCCTCACCTCATCTCTCACCTTGGTGATTAAATAACCTGTAACAGGGTGGGTAAACTAAGTGAGAATTTTTTTATAGGAACATTAAGAATGACATCTGAATTCAACTCCAGAAAACAGCTCTACCAGGGGACAGAAAAGCCTTAGCAGATGTTCTGAAACTGCTCATAAGAAAGTGCTGGAGAGTGGTCCTCTAGGTATGAGCTCTAAAAGCTCTGGACTCAGTGGGGCTTCGGCTGGTCCAGTCTGGGCCTTCAGAATCAGATGACCTGGGGCTGCCTGGCAAGCACACTGCAGTTGGTCTGTCTTAGTCTTCCATGAGTCCTTCAGGTCCATCACAGAATACAGCCCAATGTGTTACACGGTTAACCCTTCAACAGCACAGGTGATTAAGGCCACCCACCCTCTGCACAGTGGAAAATCCCCTTATACTGTCTTTGCGGTTCCGTGTTGGCAGATTCAACTAGCAGCAGATATTTAGTACTCTAGTACATATTTCTTGAAGATAATCCACATATAAGTGGACCTGAGCAGTTAATATCCGTGCTTCCACTGTAGCTTCCTTCAGGATCTCCGGTTTGAGGAAGCGTATGTTTACTCTCCTCACTGTAGAGGAGGTGTGGCACCTGTTGGTTGTTGGGCCACTGGGTTAGGTTTTGGCTGCTGACTGGTGGTGTGCTGAGAGCTCCCACTTTGAGATTTGACCACAGGCCCTAGCTCAGGCAGTGCCTCCTGATAGTTTAGGTACTGTTTCTGGCCACAGAAAGAGTCCTGTGTCCCATAGGCTATCTCGGCCATCCAGCAAGGTATCAATGAAGGCTTTGCATACACCGTTGAAAAGAGTGTTAGTGTTTCAGAAGATGTAGCAGATGGGATCCGAAAATCTTGCCCATTAAGGAACAGGGATTCTGGCCTTCAGCTTGAAGTGGGTTTTCAGAGTCACAGATGGTGGTGAGGTTTCATCCTGTGCAGATAGTTGTAGCAGTTCTGACTTAGAGCTGTAGCAGACTTGGACCATCCTTCATGAGGACGCAGGGTTTGTACTTGATATCCCAGAGTCTGGATAGTCAGATATCATCTCCTCTTTGAAGTCTTTGGGGGCATGACACCTCTAGGGATATGAGGTCAATTTCAAGATTTCATTGTGAATCTCATGATTTACTTCTTCACAAAAATTAATAGCAGTACAAACACCAGATTCTTGTCAACCTTAACCAGCACACCATTCACCCAGACTGGCTTCCCTAACCTGTGCTGAACTGCAGCAGTTTACCCCACTTCCCTGCCTCCTCAGCCCAAGTTCTCTGGAGCAGTCCAGGTCAGTTCCCTAGTGAATTGGGGGAAGAAACATGGTTATTTAGGGGATCTATGGTAGTTCTATCAAGTGAAAGTGAAAATCACTCATCCATGTCTGACTCTTTGCAGTCCCATGGACTATACAGCCCATGGAATTCTCCAGGCCAGAATACTGGAGTGGGTAGCCTCTCCCTTCTCCAGGGGATCTTCCCAACCCAGAGATCGAACCCAGGTCTCCCATATTGCAGGTGGACTCTTTACCAGCTGAGCCACAAGGGACGTCCAAGAGCACTGGAGTGGGTAGCCTAGCCCTTCTCTAGGGGATCTTCCTAACACAGGAATTAAACTAGCGTCTCCTGCATTGCAGGTGGATTCTTCACCAACTGAGCTTTCAGGCAAGCCCAGTTTTATTAAATCTCTATTAAATATACAAATTAGTTTGGGAATGTTTGGCAACTCCAGATTCCCTTTTCACAACATGGGATATGACTGGCTTATAAGTTTTTATTTAGATTTCATATATTATAAAATCAGTAACAACTTAGATCTTCAAAATAACCAAGGATATATATCACAGTCTCTGCCACTTTTCTTCCTGTTTAATTAAGCATAAAATATAAAAATTTAAATATCTCAAGAACCAATATATAGAAGATACATTTTTAAAAAAAAAGCTTCTATACAACAGGCAGTTTTCACACCAGCTAGATATTTGATGATATTAAGGAATTATTGTTACTTTATTAGATATGCTAGCAGTATTGTTACATTATTTAAAAAGAGTCCTGATCTTTTAAGCATAAACACTCAAGTATGATAGCTGGGATTTGCCTCAAAGTTAACATAGGACAGAAAGTATGTAAGAGTATGAAACAAAATTGGCCATGAGTTGCTAATTGTTAGAGCTGATAATTATTGGGTTAGCTGTAGTATCTCCTTTTGTATATGTTTGGAATTTTCCATAATAAAAATAAAGACAAATGTAGTATGTCAAAAGAAAGAAAAGAGTCCTCATAAAAAAAAGTACTCATGAAAAGCAGAGCTGACTACATTTATAGCCACAGGGTAAAAATATTAATACTTCTAAAGATTGTTGATTCTGTTGTTCCCTGACCAGAGCACACCTCAAGCAAAATTATGAAGTAGACTTTGCTTATATTTGTTATTTCCTAGTGTTAACTTCCATCTTAGCTCCATATCAGTTTTCTTTCTGCTTGTTGTAAATGCACGTTTTTCTCCCATTCACCTCTTTACTTCCAAAATTGTAACTTACTTCTTCCTACTGAGTCAGAGACCTAAAGATGAACCTGTTCCAATTAAAGTGCAAGAGAAGACAACTCGGGATAGAGCTTAGGAAGGTAGAAATTGGGAGTAGTTCTGATGTTTGAGCATTTGGAAAAATTACTAATAAAAATGTGAGAAGTTTGTTGGAATATTGTGGGGAGAAACTAGTAGGAGTCCTATATGAAAAACACTAACTGTTGATTTTATTTAAAAATTGCCAGTCTGGAGAGAGGGAAAGGTAAAAGCTTTACTAGTACGATTAGCTAGTACTATCCTAATGAAAATAAATAATGCCTAAAATGAGCATGTCAAAAAGTATCAGTATTAGCATATTATCCAGAAATATAGTTATGATTAAAAGAAACCACAAATTCAAAGTAGTTACTTATGGATGGAGTCATTTGGGAGGGAGTCTGACAGCATGGAACAAAGAATTGCTGTATTTTATTATAAGCAACTTAGTAATACAATGTCTTTTTACAATGTTTATGTTTTATTTTAATAAAAATATTTTTAAAAAACTGCAGTATTAGTATACTTATTCTAAAGATGCATCAAGGGAAAAAACTTATTAATAAAATTAATCTGAATAAAATTAAGACTATGATTTTGAATGTAGTAGGAATCTTGCTTCACCTTCTTCAAATGCATATCCAGTTGTCCCAAATCCATTTTTTGAAAAGGCTGTTCTTTTCTCCTTTGAACTATCTTGCCACTCTTGTTGAAAATCTATTAACCATAAATGGGTTTATTTATGGACTCTCAGTTATATGTCTATCTTTATGCTGGTACCACAGTTTTGATTACTACAGCTTTTTAGTGAGTTTTAAAATTGGTCTTCCAGCTTTGTTCTTTTTGAAGATTATTTGGCTGTACTCAATTTGCTGTATTTCCCACATGACTTTTAGGATCTGCTTATCAACTTCTACCAAAAAGGGTGGGGGAAACTGAGATTTTAATAGGGACTGCATTAAAACTATCGATCAATTTGAGGACTATTGCCATCTTAACAATATTAAGTCTTCTAATCCATAAAATTTGATATCTTTTTATTTATTTGTCTTTAATTCTTTCAGTGATATAGTTTCACTGTAAAATCTTGCACTTCTTTTGTTATACTTGTTTCTAATGATTTTATTGATTTAATGCTATTGTAAAAGGAATGGTTTTGTTAGTTTCATTTTCAGAGTGTTCATTGCTAGTGTATAGAAGTACAAATGATTTTTGTACTTTTTTGCAACCTTACTGAACTCGTTTATTAGTTCTAATAAGTTTTTTGTATATATTCCTTAAGATTTTCTGTATATGAGATCATATCATCGGCAAAAAGGGAAAGTTTCGTTCATTTTTTATCTGGATGCCTTTTTCTTTTTGTTGCCTAGCTTTTTGTTGGCTAGACCCTTCAGTACAATGTTGAGTAGAAATGATAGGAGTAGATATCCTTGCCTTGTTCCTGATCTGTGGCAAAGCATTCAGTCTTTCACCATTAAGTATGGTGTTAGCTATGGGTTTTTTGTAGATGCTCTTGAGCAAATGAAAATTTCCTTCTGTTCCTAGTCGAATTTTTTTTTTTTAATCATGAAAAGGCATTTGATTTTGTCAAATGCTTTTTCTGTGCTTATTGAGATACCACGTGGTTTTGTTCTATTAATACAGTGTATAACATTGATTATCATATGTTGATGAGCTACGCTGTACTCCTCGGATAAATTCTGCTAGGTCATTGTGTACAATCCTTTTCATATGTTGCTGGATTCAGTTTGCTAGTATTTTATTAAAGATTTTTGCATCTGTGCTTATAGAGGTTATTGGCTATAGCTTTCTTGTGATGTCTTTGTTTGGATTTAGTTTCAGGATCTCACAGAATAATTGGAAAGTGTTCCTTCCTCTTCTACATTTTTTTCAAGTTTGTGAAGTAATGATTTTAGTTCTTTAATGTTTAATAAAATTCAGTAGTCAAGTCATCTGATTCTGGGCTTGTTGGAATGAAATTTCTTGATTACCTAATCCAATTTTTTAATTTTTTTATTGGTTTCTTACAATTTTGTGTTTCTTCTTGGGTAATTTTTTAAAATATGAAAAATAAAAAGAAAGTATAAACTTCTAAGTATGTATTAGATAGTCTGATAAAGCCCCAAATTGCATGTAAAAACCTGTCCTGTTGCTACTTCATGGGAAGTCAATTTGAAATTTATACTGTTTAACAGTTCAGTTTTTCTAATGTGTTTTTCAAGAATGTTTATTGTTAATGTATTTTTATTTGATTTATTTTAAAATCATATTTCATAATAGCTTGGAATTTAAGGTTTGCTTCTTTTTTTTATCTCAGCAGCAATGCAGCAAGTGTTGGATAACCTCACGGGGCTGCCCTCGTCTACGGGAGCAGAAGAAATAGACCTAATTTTCCTCAAGGGGATTATGGAGAATCCTATTGTAAAATCACTTGCTAAGGTATATTGATTTATTCATAAAATAACTAAATTCTTTTTAAATTGTTTTTACAGAGGTCTTTTCGGATTAGTGTTTTAAAACCTAAGTGAGTATAACTTAGGCTTAGTTAGCAAATGATAACAGTTAACAACTAATGAAATCTTACTTTACACAAAAATCAGGCTATTTTGCCTTCTCTATTGACTTTAAAGTTTTAGGGAAGCAATAACTGAACAGTTGTATTATAATGGAAGTCTATGAAAAAGAATCTGATTTTGTCTCCATTTTCAACAACAGCAAGGTACTGATTTTCTTCTGTTATGTTAGACCATATACCTGTTTTTCAATTTAGTTCTTGACTTCCTATAACTAGTTCTTTTTGAAATTTTTTTTATAACCTGATTTTTTAGTCTATTTCTATAATCAGCTCTGTAGTAATCTTTTTTACTCATCCAAAAATATAGTTTCACAACCATTTTTGGTCCAGTTTTATTTCAATTACCATATTTCCAACAGTAATTTTTATAAATGTCACTAAAACTGAGTGTATTAGCTGTTTCACAATACTGCTCTCCCATTCTTCAGATGATATCTTGCTTTTAAGAACCTATGCCATACACTCTCTCTGACCTTTTCTTTCCTTTATTTTTTAATAAGATATTGAATATAGTTCCTTTTGCTCTTCAGTAGAATCTTATTATGTCTCTGACTGTTTCTTCATGTAACCATCTTGTCATTCGTGGAGTGTTGATTTTTATCCTCTCCTGAGATCATTTTTTGTAGCATAGTCTATCACTTGTTTTCTTCTAAGACTTCTGAAAAATCATACTTTTTCCTAAGTGTTCTAACAGAGTGAGTTAGTGATGCAGTTCTTAATTTTATTCATAAATGTAATCATTCTAAGGTCACATGGTATGAAGGCTTGGGTTCCTAAGTAGAAACTAATCCACCTAGAGATCACCCAACTAGAATTTTTATTTTAGTCATGTTTGACTGCAGTCTTTGCAAAATTTATTAGGTATTCCTTTAACAATAATATATAGGATATAATTTACCTTCACATTTAACCTTCTTGTCGCAAATATCAATCACTATGCTGTGTTGAGATAAATAGCTTCAGTGTCTTAGAAATAAGTAAGTTAAGTGTTAGTTGCTCAGTCGTGCCTGACTCTGCAACACCATGGACTGCAGCCCACCAGGCTCCTCTGTCCATGAGATTTTCCAGGCAAGGATACTTGAGTAGTTTGCCATTTCCTTCTCCAGGGAATCTTCCCAACCAGGGATCGAACCCAGGTCTCCTGCACTGCAGGCAGATTCTTTACTGACTGAGCTACAAGGGAAGCCCTAGAAATAAGTAAGGGCTGTTTAAGCCTATTAGTTAAATGGCTCACTCTGAGCTCTTACTGCCACTTTAAAAGTAGTGTTTTATTCCTCCCTTAATGTCATACCTACCTTACTGTTAGTTGTCAGTATTTTTCCTCAGTGTACCTCTTACACCCCATCCTTATGTTTATTTAATTTAAAGTTTTTAGATATAGATCTAGAAACTCGATTATATTATGCAAGACATCTTATAATGTGCTTATTGTTTATAAGAGTTTTTAAAAATTGCTATTTCATCTTTGCAAAAACATTATAAACTGAAAACTAGGATTTAAAATAGAAAAATTATTTGCCTAAGGTCACTTATCTAGAAAATGACAGAAATACTTAGGCCAGGTCTTGTTTCTTCAAATTCTTTTCTCTTTCTTCCACAGAGCATGTTGGTGTCTCTATGTGTATATTCTTAAGAATTTCTGTGCATAAAAAAATTACTGATTTTTGTGTCATTGATGTTGACCTTACTGAAGATCATTTTGTTCACTATTCTCAGCAACTAAAATGGCTGCATGACTTTTGAGCAGCTGAAATGCTATTGTGATCTTTTGATGATAAAATTGAAGTAGAAAAAAAAAAGAATCACTCAGTAGTAAACAACATTCAAGCAGCTTCTCAATAAATAGAAGCAGTGGTAGGTGAATATTCCTCCATTGAAGGTAAAGATATCCCAGAAGAAAGAAAGGACTTCTGCTTCCAAGAAAGAGATGTGAAGTCATAGCAGGCCAAAACTCCCAGTACCAGTAGGGGGAAAGATGGATTAACTGCTGAAGAAACAGCGAGGGTACATTCCTAGACTTGTGGAGAGGCAAGAACATGTGACTAATAATCATGAGAAGAACAAAAGAAACAGTCTTATAAATAATCCTTTTAAAAGTTTATATACAAAGATTTTTAAGTAACATTTTTAATGAAGGAGGGGAAAATAAAGACATTTAAAATATTACTGGAAAATAAGAGTCAAAAATAATCAAATGGTTATTTGAGAACTCAAAAATACAATATCTGATTAACAGCTCATTTGATGGGTTTAATAGAAGACTAAACACAGCAAGCAAGAAGACTAACAAATTTGAAGACAGGTCAATTTGAAACATCTAAACTGAAATTCATAGGAAAGTACATATAGAAAAGACAGTATGTGAGACATACTTGAAAGGGCAAATACACATGTAGTTAATATCCCAGAAAAAGGGGGCAGGGGATGGGTCAGAAGAAATAGTGCAAGACACAATGGTCAAGAATTTTTAAAACTAATAAACAACATCAACTGAGAAATTCAAGAAGCTAAATGAACCCCCTGGCAGGGAAAATGAAAAACATTCCTTTGAATATCACAGTCAGACTCCTGAAAATCAAAGATGAAGTAAAATTTGTAAAGTCCCTGAAGAAGAAAGACACATTACCTTTAAGGACAAGCAGTAAGACTAATAGTTAGCTATAAAACAGGAACTATGACAGTCATAACAGAGTGGATTGAGATCATTAAGGTACACAAAGAAAAACACTGCCAACCTCAGATTCCCTCTTCAGCAAAAACAGCCTTCAGAAATAAAAGCAAAATAAAGGTTTTCTTTTTAGACAAAGTCTGAGTAAAATTATCTCCATTGACTCAGCAAGAAATGCAAAAGGAAGTTCTTCAGGCAGAAAGAATGACAATGGAAAGGGAGTAAATATAAAATAATACTGATTTTTAGGATGAAGTAATGGTAATGTCTTGTGGCATTGATAGCATGTTTATAAATGAAATATTTGAAGATGATAGACCAAAACAAAGGAGAGACTTTGTGATTCAGACAGTTATAAGATGCTTTTATAAGATCAAGGAAGTGGTCAAAGTAATATCTTAAGGTTGTATAAAAAGGTTAGGGATGCATATTGAGATCTTTGAGGTAGCTACAAAAGTAAAATTATAACAATGAACAAATTCTACCCAAACCTTAAGGGTGAGAAAATAGACTTGAATTACCTTCACTCCAGAAACAACTAGCAAAAAGGCTGGAAGGGAGTGACCATCTTCAGATACAGGACAACAAGCAGCACAGGACTGTGATGCCTGAGAGAAGTGAGGTGAGCACTATGAAACTATCTCAGGCCCGTTGCCATGCCTAGTGCAGAGAGAAGTATAACAGCCCAGCAGTCTTAATAGAGCTCAGGGCTTGGGGAGAAGGAGGTGACTGGACCTTGTATGGCAAAGTTTTGGGGAGGAGGAAGCTAACCCAGACCAGCCCTGGAGATCTGTTCAGGGATGCCTTCAAATCTCTGGCTGAGTGCTGACCTGTGCATATGTGAGGCATGCCTCTAGTGTCCAAGGAAAGATCCACTGGAAAGCACAGTAGGCCAGATAATTTCCAGGGCTCAAAAGGGATGGGGGATAGTTTAGTTTGCATTTCCACCAGCCTGAGTTGAAAAGTCCTCATGATATGCAGGGCATTGGGCAGAGTTCACACTAAGTTTCTTATAACAAATCTAGGAAACTAGTTACAGACTACAGCAAAATCAAACTAAAAATTAATAACAAAGTTATTCCCCAAATTCCCAAATACGTCAAAGGGCATTCTTCTAAATAGCCATGGATCAAAGGAGAATCACAAACATAAAAAATATTTGAATTGAATAATGTGAAAATATATAACAGAACTTTGGGGTGCAGCAAAGCAATGCTTAGAGGGAAACGCCTGTATTAGAAAAGAATAAAGTTTAAATCAATGATTATATGTATACCTTGATAAAATAGAAAAAGAACAAATTAAAATATGCAGAAAGAAAATAATAAATATGAGTGAACATAAAAAGATGAAAAAATCAATATAACTTTGAATATATTAATAAAATTGGTAAACCAGTAGCTAGACACAAGTTATCATTATCAGAAATGAAAGAGAGGACATTGCTGCAAATCCAGCAGACATTGCGAGAATAATAAATATTATGAACAACTTTGTGGCAATAAATATGATAACTAGAGGAAGTTCATTTCTTGAAAGACACAAGTGACTAAAGTCTACAGAGGAGTGGATGCCCTGTGTCTGTTTTTTTATGATTGAATATTTGCTATTTAAAACCCAAAGCTTCAGCCTGGATGACTTCAAAAGAAAATTCTATCTAAAACATTTAAGGAAGAAATAATACCAATTTTACATTATTTATTCTAGAAAAAAGAAAGGAAAAACACTTCCAGTTTTGTTTTACTAGTCTTGGCATTACCCTGATATCAAAACCAGCTAAAAAGAGTTCAATTAAAGAAAACTACAGAATAGTATCCTTAGTGAATGTAGACTAAAAGTTCTTAAGAAAATATTAGCAAATTAAATCTAGCAACTTACAAAAAGGGTAATACCTCATTACCAAGTGACTTTTGTCTTAAAAATAAGAGCTTCCTTCACATTTGAAAATTAATAAATGTCACCATTTTAATGATATGATAAAAATCATATGATTGTATTCATAGTTGCAGGAAAAGCGTTTTGTGAAATTGAACATCCATTCCTCATAACAACTCAACAAACGTAGAAGGAAATTGCCTCAACCTCATGAAGGGCATCTATTTAATTAAACCCCATGGTTAACATCGTCCTTCATGGTGGAAGACAGTGCCTTCTTTCTAAGATCACTTCTGTTCAACTTTTATCACTTCTGTTCAG